AAGCAACCTTACTTCTGACACTGCCTCCTTGGGAGCCCAAGCTTGCTGCTCGGATATTCCGTTGCGTAATTTTTTGGTGGTAAAACGATAGTCTTCCGTAGACACTGCTGGTTGAGCTATGGGAAAAGCAGACAGCAGAAAGCTGCTCTCTCCAGCTCCAATCAGCATCGGGTACGGACGTGCTCCTGGGTCACTTGTGGAAAGCCAAAGGGTGGGTGGTGCAGCGGTGCTTTGTCCCACAGGGACTAACAACACACGGGTGCGTGAGCTTCAGTGAAAGCACAAGAGCCTGAGCTGCCTCTGGAAGTGTGGGGCAGTGACTTCCCCTCTGTCTCTTTGCCCTCAGTGCCAGATCCTCCTGAATGCCTCTAGCTTTTTCACACTTGGCTGTGTGTGTTTTTCACCACCTTGTTTTCAAGCAGTGTGCCCGGCAAAGGAGTTCGGCTTGTATCAGTTGTCCTCTCCTAAAGCCAACCATAACTCCGTCTCGCCTTTTTTTGGGTCAGGTTTGGTTTGTGCCATTGTGCAGGTTCCTAACCTTATTCCTGCATTGAATAATTCAGGTCTGTTAGCTGCACATAATCCATACTGTTTGGATCGCTTTGAGTTTGTGGCTCTGTGGCTTGCAGCAGTATGTAGAGTGTGTGTTGGCAGATGACTTAAATACTTCTGAAAGGCTCTGTTTTTCTAGGTCATTCCTATATGAAGCCGATAAAACTGGCTCTGTTTCTGACCTGTGTGTCACTACTGTACCCACAGCTCTTCACTCAAGGTGCCTTTTCACTGAAATCCTGCCTTCTGAAAGCAGTTTTTAGAATCTATTTCAGGAGCCTGCTGTACCCCGGAACTTCTGCTGCTGTAGCTCTACGCTCTGTCGTGTTTCTTGAAAAGTCCAGCCTGCTGTTGCCCATCCAAGCTCTTCTTGAAGCACAGCGATATGTCAAAGGGTGCATCTCCCACCGCTTCAAGAGCTCAGCACACACGTTCAACCTCCTTGGAGAGCCCAGGACCTGTCTTGCTCATCCTTTAGCTGCGTGTGTGCCCTACATCCAGGAATAATTTCCTTGCGGCCGGCTGCGTCTCGGCTGTTGGCAGTGCAGCTCCTCAGAGTCGGCCAGTGGCTTTAGAATCTTGATGGATACTGGACGGGGGTTGCCCTTGGCTCCCAGTTGCCGTAAGAGACAAGAGAGAATAATGCTTCATAAGTGGGAGAGCATGTGGATGTGTTTGGATAGAGGTGGTCCTTGTCAGAAGCTTTACATAGCAGCGCTTGGACAGTTGTGGTTTTGGTTTATTTTTGAAAGGCTGGGAGGAATGAGGACATCTTAAGAAGAGAGGAAGATTTGGGATTTAGTGCTGCAGAGGCATAAGCCAGCAAGAAACAGGGCAGTACCAGGGAATGCAGAAAATAAATGTGTGAGAGAAAAAGTGCTGTGGCTGGCTGGCCAGAGCTGGGCTCGCAGCAAAGTTTGTGCGACGGCAAATCCCCATCTCCCAAGTGAGTGGCGTGGTGGATGATGCGATGAGCTTGGATGGTGGTGATCTCATTGGGGTTTGCTTGGGCACAGGCTGGAGGACAGGAACCTTCAGGCAGGGGTAGGAAAAGGCCTAAGAAGGGTGTTGCAGCTGCCTCATAATTTGCTTTTTAAATAGGTTTTTTTTCCCTCAAATTCACCTTAGCTTCACTGAATGATACAGTACATGTGCCTGGTCTTGCTGGTTTACAGCTACTGCTCCAAATATTATATCAACCACACTCCCCTGGTGATAGGGTGCTGCCACAGTAGTTCAACTAAAGCTTTATCCAGATGCCCACAAATTCCAGGCAAATAAGTTAATGCCATTAATGTAGGGGAAAAGACCTAGCATATAGCTTATAGCCTCTTTGCGAGGAGATGGTTGGGCAGTAAGGCTCCCTGGAAGTTCTCTTGGAGCCTGATTCTTGGCTTTGAGATTTTTGGAAGCGCATGGGTGTAACGGGACTCACAGTGTGAGTACTGACCACATCAACTCTCAAAGAGGAGGCAGGAAGGGGATCCGAGTGAAGTCAGGGATGAGTGAGTAGGGTGAGGGGCATGGAGAAGGGGATGTGAAGGAGAGGAGGGTGTGAGCTGGGATTTGACTTTGAGGTCCGAGGGGGAGACTGGAGGAAGTTTGAGCATTCTGCATCCAGAGGATGGAGCTCTTCCCATGGGGAGTGCCAGTTGAGCAGCAAAGATCTACTGGGGGTGGTTTTTTGTGGCTAATTTGGACAGGAATTTGAAGGCTTAATGCAGCCTACTGTGCTGGAAGGCTTGCAGGCAAGCTCTCCATGGCAACTCTCCCTATACACAAAGCACCATATGGCTCGTTTCGGAGGGGGAGGGAATGAATCGAGCAGAGAAGTCAACCTTTGGTGGTGTTTGCCTTTGCTCTCTGACGTGGAGCGTGGGGAGGTGAAAACACGGAGTGCCATCTCCTGGGCGTAACTTCTGCTGCCCACAGCACCAGCAAGGGTGCAGGTGGCCTCTCAAATGTTCTTTCCTTGCCTTTTTTTTTTTTTTTTTTTTTTTTAAGAGAGCAGCTCACTCTGAAAAATAAACCCTGCCTGTGCAGAGACTCCATCTTTTGGGCTGGGTGCTCTGCAGACAGATGGAACAACCGCTCTCATTTTCGCCCCTACACCAAGAAACACCCAGAGGGCTGCGGAGGCTCCAGGAGCACTCGCTTTAGGCAAGAGCTTGTACAGGAGGCAGCTGATGTCAGGGAGCTGTTTGTGCCTTGTTCTGCCCACGCTTTATGCCCCTGCTTCCAAAGGGAGCTGGAAGCCTTCACTTGACTGTAAATCCTCCTTTTTTACAAGTCCTTTTGGAAGGAATGAGCGGAATAAATATCTTTATCTGTGCCTGTAGAAAAGCAGGAAGCTTTTGTGTGTCTGCTTGGAGGGGGAGGAAAAGAAACAATATGGGGAATAAACGGGATGGAGCAGCCTGTGCCTGGCTCCGCTGCCTTCAGGGTGCTCTGCGGTTCCTGGGGCTGCCGCGGGGTGCCACCAGCAGCACTGGAGATGGCCTTGCAGGGTGGGCCACTGGTAAGGCTGGCTGGGTTGAGCCTGGCAAAGGTGCGAGATCAGGCAGCTGGAAGTGCTGGCAGGAGCCCAGCACCCAGCTGTTTGGCTGGATTTCTGCTGCCGTCGGCTCGGGGAATTCAGATACACTGCAGATAAAGCGTTGACGCTGTGCCGGGGCACGCTTGGAAGCTGCACCTCTCCAGAGGTGGCCGTTGCCTGCGTGTTGCCATCAGCAGTGGGCAGGAGAAGCGACTGGCTGTGCCCTCTGTTTCTATGATGTTGGCTGGTTTTGTCAGAAGTGGGCAGAGGCTCCTCTTGGGGGACTCGCTCTCGAGTGCTCCCATGGCTTCAGGTCGCCGTCCCTATCCCATCAGTCCTCCTGCACATTTGAGGAGAGGGAGAATACTGGTTTTTTTAAAATATATTGGTGATAAACCTATTTGTTAGGGTAGGACATGGCCCAAGGATGTCTTGCCTCAAGCACTGTGCCGGGGCATCCATGTTTCCACGTGTAGGAGCCACAGGTGGGGAGAGCAGCGGGGGCATGGAAGTTGAAACTGTGAACAAGAGCCCCTTTCATCTGATGAAGCCGTGACCCCG